GCTTTGTAAAAATCGACGCGTTTCAGAAAGGCGGGGCATAGAGGAGAAACAATAATGTACAGTATGTGGAAAATAATGTTTTTTTAACCTTAAACCGCATAAAAACATTTCATTACACCAAATACACAAAATAATGTTCTTTTTAGCAACATCATATGACCCCTTTAAGATCAAGTCGTCGTCTTCGTGCATTCGTTCCTCCAGCTCACCAGGTGGCGCTCAAAGGCAGCGGAACTCATGTAGCATCTCCCTCCGTTTGCTTCCTGCCGATGTGGTGCATCTGTGAAGAGAGGATACACACTGTTTGTTTGTTTGTTTGTTTGTTTGTTTTTTTGGATTAAACTGATTTACACATTTGAAACGTCATCGATAGTTGAGTCGAATCACAGATCAATATGGGCCCGGTAAGTTATTTTGTAATTAATACACAAACTAAAGCGGGAGTGAGTTTAATATCAGCAGCTTCAGTACGCCATGTCTCTGGTTTGCTACGCTTACATTTAAATGCAGTGATTGAGAGTCACTTGACAGCCCAAATTGCTGTGGAGGATGGAAAGAAAGTGGAAATGTTTTTAAAGACGTTTATAAAAGTAAATAGTTCAGAAAATTTAACTGATCAGAGTAAGGAAATAAGGAAAGATATGTTAAAAGAGTATCCAGATTTAATGGGGAAAAAGGTGACTGGTAATGATTTGCTAGAGGTACCATTCTCTATGAGTGAATTAAGAAATGCAGTAAGAAGAATGAAACAATCTGCTCCAGGAATGGATGGAGTAAGTTATAGTATGATGAAGCATTTTAGTGAAAATTCTATGAAGGTGATTTTAGCATTTTACAATAGAATATGGATGGAAGGTACACTTCCTCAAAGTTGGAAGGAAGCATTAATTATACCTATTAAAAGCCTGGGAAAGATCCAAGTAATCCTATGAGTTATCGTCCAATAGCTTTAACTTCTAATTTATGTAAGGTTGTGGAGAGAATGATTACAGACAGATTGACATATCATTTGGAAAAAATGAACTGGTTTTCTCCTTATCAAAGTGGGTTTAGGTGGGGAAGAGGGACTTTGGATTCAATAGTATCTTTAGAAGATGATATAAGAAAGGCATTTGTAAACAAGGAGAGTGTCATCGCTGTTTTTTTCGATATAGAAAAGGCGTATGATATGTTGTGGAAAGAGGGATTATTAATAAAATTAGAAAAGTTGAGTATAAAAGGAAGAATGTACAATTGGATTAAAGAATTTTTAATTGGAAGAAGTATAAGGGTGAAGGTTGGTGGCGCTGTATCCTCCAGTGGCGTAATCGAGAATGGAACACCCCAGGGCAGTGTAATTAGCCCACTGTTATTTATCATCATTATTAATGATGTTTTTTCAAGGATAAATTCAAGTCTGGGGAAGTCTTTGTTTGCTGATGATGGGGCTCTTTGGTTTAAAGGAAAGAATATAGAGTATACTATAAAGAAGATGCAATGTGCATTAAATTAAGTAGAAAAGTGGTAAAGGGAAAATGGTTTTAAGTTTTCAGTGGAAAAGACAAAAATAATACTTTTTACATATATGAAGAGGACTTTGATATTAAGTTGAAATTATATAAACAAGAGCTAGAACGTGTATATACAATAAGATTTTTAGGAGTATGGTTTGACAGTAGATTAACCTGGAGAGAGCATGTAGAAAAGATGGTGGGAAGATGTAAGCGAGTAGTTAATGTGAGTATTTCTGGCCAGGAATGGGGAGCAGATAGATTGGCTTTAAAAACTATATATATATATCCATGATAAGATCTATAATAGATTATGGTTGTTTAGTATATGGCTCTGCAAATAAATCTATTTTAATTAAATTGGATAGAATTCAGTCTCAAGCCCTAAGAATTTGTTGTGGAGCTGTTCTAACTTCTCCAGTTTCAGCTCTTCAAGTAGAGATGGGAGAAATGCCATTACAGATAAGAAGAAAACAGTTAATAGTATCCTATTGGGCACATTTAAGAGGTCAGAGTGGAAATCACCCTACAAAGAAAGTGTTAAGCAGTAACCATTACAGCTATAAAAAATGAAATTTAACATTAAATGTGTAAACACCACTAAAATACATTTTTGCTTACCTTTTCCTCAGCGTAGAGGGGTGAGCAGTTTATAATTAAGAATGTATTAAATCCAGGAAGAAACATGAAATCATTATTGTTACAGTATTTGGGAAGAACTGGGTTGAACAAGCAGGTATAGGTGTTGTTTTCTTTTCTTTTTTCTTCTCTCTCTCTCTCTCCTTTCAAATCCCGCTTAAGAGGGCTGAGGGAGGACGGAGGAGCTGAACACGCAGTGCCGGATGAAGCTCTATGAAGACTCTAAGCGGGTACAAGAATCAAGGGTGTTTGTATGTGGGTTGGTAGGTTAATCAGGAGATTGTAGATCGTGTCAATGGTACATTTGAGATATATAGGTGGCGGTAATGCACTTATAAGTCTGCGATCCGCCATAAAGCAACAAGAAGAAGAAGAAGAACACTTGACAGCCCTTGTTTTTTATGTATTAGTCAAAACATTGCCGTTTCAATACTAGTCTAACCTTTACTGTATATCATATACTTTATATCGTAGTGTAATCCCTACACTATCATATCAAACTACGTTACACTTTTCAACCCTTTATTGTTTCTATATACTATACTAGTTTTATTTCTACTTTACCATACTATACTAGTATAATATGGAAGCCCGTTTCCGCCACTGGGTCCTTTAGAGTGACAGCTGCCCCTGATATTCCCTGATTTTATTACATTTTATTGAATGTCTAACGGTGTTGACAAAAAGTGGGGACGCAACTTTAAAATCGTATTAAACAGGCATGTGTCATTAAAAAACAACCTTGCTTTGATAGGAGATATTATTAAGTGTTGCTTTTGACAAAACAAGCTCTTTTTCATCATTAAAAAAAACATTTTTATCAATTTTATTGCATATGAATGCTTGAACCCTTCTCTGTGGACACACTGTTTTAGATGTAGTGAGAGGAAAAAAAATTTAATTGAAGGTGATAATTGTGTAAAATACATTCTATTATTAATCCATCATGACATTTAAAATTGAAAATATTTTTATTTTTAAACCTAATAGCAGTTACCCTTGCTGGACCTGTTTTGTCCCATGTCTCAAGAATGACTGAATTGCGAGTTAAAGTCCAATTTTCAGGGGGGAAAAAGACTGATATGTTCTCAGAATTGCGAGTTTATATCTCACAATTCTGACTTTTTTGAGAAAAAAAGTCCGAATTGTGAGATAAAAAGTCGCAATTACCTCTTTTATTTTTTATTCAGTGGCGGAAACGGGCTTCCATAGTATAAACACCAGTATGTCGTACTATATAATATATAGCATACTTGTCAACCCCCTACTGTATATCTTGTCATATATCATATCATATATACTAAGAGTTAACCTCTCATTGTTTTAGTTAACCCTCTGGTACTTAGACTGAAAGCAATAAGTAGTTAAATAATGTTATTATATGTTGAGGGGATTCCATTGTACTAAACTATTCGCATGTAATCTAAACACCATTTATTTCTCTATAAAATAACACATTTTACACTGATTTTCAGTTATTGCAGTATTTAAGTTAAAAATAGAGTAAAAGGATTTAAAATCTAATATTTTGAAGCAGACTATCTGATGGAAAACAGTAATGAAAATCACTTTTTGGCATATCGTACTATGCAAGTCAGCCTCGTGAATTTTTTTATTTTGCTTCATATGTATAAAGACGTTATGTCTTATGTATAATTGCATCGTACTCTATCATGTGATTATGTATCTTTCAAACAAAAGGCTTCCAAAAGAAACAAGAAAAAGAAGCCTAGCTGCAGAAAATGACTGAAAACCAGCAATCTGAAGCTAGAAAACAAACTGAAGAATTGTCAGTTTAAGCAACAGAGTTCAGCTAAGAAACAACGCAAAGAACAGAGGAAGCTTCGGCAAGCCATTACCGATGTCTCCCACAAGACCCTCAAACCCCTGGAGCGCTATAAGAAGAAACCAGGTGAGAGAAACTGTTCTCGGATCATTTTCATTAACTCTTGTGCTCAACACTGGGACAGCGTTGTAATGCTGATGTATCACAACAGAGTAGGAAGAGGAGGAGGAGGAGTTCCTGGAGTCTCTGCCTGTAGACATGATGGACGAGGATGATCTAGAACAGATCAAAGCCTTGGCAAAGAAAGCTTCCTTTCTGACTCGAGACATCTCATCATGGTAGGCAGCAGTGTTTAAAACATATGCTTTGGTCCTTGTTATTAAATCACTTGATGTTAATTTCTCTCAAGACTTTATACTCGGTGACCAGCGGATGTCTGTTGTGAGCATTTTTCCTCCTCTTTTCTTTTGTAGCGCTCCAGTACATGCCAAAAAGCGCAAGACTGAACAGCCGGTGGAGAAGTATGAGAAGATGCCCAGGAAGATGCAGCAGGAGGAGCAGAAAGAACTCCTTCACCTGCTTCCCATCAAAGACAAGAGCGGCCTGATCCCTCAGAGCATGGAGAAACCCGGTGTGTGTGTCGCAACACGACTACCAGTGAATGCTGTGGGTCTAGAGAGGATGATATGTGACCCTGGAGCACAAAACCAGTCTTAAGTCGCTGGGGTATATTTGTAGCAATAGCCAAAAATACATTGTATGGGTCAAAATGATAGATTTTTCTTTTATGTCAAAAATCATTAGGACATTAAGTAAAGATCATGTTCCATAAAGATATTTAGTAAATTTCCTACTGTAAATATATCAAAACTTAATTTTTGATTAGTAATATGCATTGCTAAGAACTTCATTTGAACAACTTTAAAGGCGATTTTCTCAATATTTAGATTTTTTTTGCCCCCTCAGATTCCAGATTTTGGAATATTGTCCTATCCTAACAAACCATACATCAATGGAAAGCTTATTTATTCAGCTTTCAGATGATTTATAAATCTCAATTTCAAAAAATTGACCCTTATGACTGGTTTTGTGGTCCAGGGTCACATTTGTGATTAACCGTCTGATTGTTTCCTCTAGTTGTGCCGGAGGCGGAGGAAGAGGAGGAACCAGATGACCAGGATGAATTAACAAACGGTTGGTGTGGATTTTTTCAAGCGTAACCTCTTGAAATCTCAAGGGTGTGTTTAAAGTACTGTAGTAGTTTGTGTTGCCATGTCGTGTTTTAGGAGAAAAAAAATCTAACTTTTTTGTTGTTCGAATCCTTTTGATGCTAAATATTTATTTGAGATTTATTTCAATAATTTAACAACATATTTGCATGCTCACTGCTCTCTGATGTTGGTTATTGGTTACATGACATGCAGGTAAACTAATAAAATATTTAATCTTTTCTAGTGTTTTATTTTGATTGTTTTATTTTAAAATTATTTATTTTAATTGTATACATTTGTGATTTTTTTTATTAGTTTTTAATAAACTCTCAAACTCCCTGACTACCCTAAAATCTTTACCCATAACACTTTTATTCAGCATTAAATTGATCAAAAGTGACAGACATTTATAATGTTACAAAAGATTTCCGTTTCAAATAAATGCTGTTCTTTTGTGCTTTCTATTCATCAAAGAATCCTGGAAAAATAATAGTTTTCACAAACTGTTTTCAACAATAAAAGCAGCAAATCAGCATATTAGAAGGATTTCTGAAGGATCATGTGACGCTGAAGACTGGAGTAATGATGCTGAAAATTCAGCTTTGATCACAGGAATAATTTACATTTTAAAATCTATTCAAATAGAAAAGCCTTGGTGAGCATTAGACACTTCATAAACATTAAAAGATCTTAATCTTAAAGTTTATGCATCATTTTAAATATTTCTGTAGAGATGTAACTTGTTTTATTTTTTTAATTATTCATGGCACTTTTTTGATGATTTTGTCTAAATTTGATCAGAGGAGGAACCAGAGACCGGCCCATTGTTAACCCTTCAGGAGCAACTAGAGCTTCGTACTCGGAGACTGACGGAGAAGAAACTGCGCATCGCAAGTCTGTCATCAGCAGTACTCGCAGATCCACATGTGAATGTAAGACGGTCCTTCACAATCATCTTCTGAAAGTGATCTGTATGGTTGTTACATGTATGATGACATTCCATGTGTGTTTCAGATCAAGAAGCTGAAGGAGTTGAGGGCCATGCTGATGGAGACGGACCCGTGCGTCGCCGTCACGGTCAGAAAGCTAGTCATGGTGTCCCTCGCCGAGGTCTTTAAGGACATTGTGCCGTCATATCGAATCCGACCACTGACGGAAGAGGAGAAAGCCACAAAGGTGCAGTGCCCCACTGTTAAATCCTAATTTCCTTCACCTTTTGTGCATAAAAGAGTTCATTGTACTTTGAAAATATTTTGAAACTATTAGAGCAACTTCAGCTTCTGTCCAAAACAGCATTTCTTGAAACCGAGCTTCAAGAACGACCCAGAAATGCTTGGATTTCTGATGTGACACGTTGTCACATTTCTGGCCAAATGTTCATGCTTACTGGGCGTACAGAAACTTGGTCCAGTGGTAAAGACAGGGTGCCCACATCTTCAATTCTGTTTGATCAAATTTAAGGTCATAAAAGCTGTTAAATATCTCTGATTTTAGCAGGTCTTAAATTTGGAGAAGAAAAAAATGATTGATTGATTTAATGAATAAATGTAAGCGCTGCATGCTCAAAATCACACCGCTGCGCTATTGCATGTTCAGAGCAATTGCTTATGATCTAATATGTTATAGATGGTTGTAAGAGTGCATATTTTATCTCCCTCATCTTTTAGAGTGAGCAGCTGGAAGTAGTAAAACATAGACATTTCAAAATAAGAGTCCTTCTGTATTTCAGCCTTTTAATTAGTTAGAGGGGTCATATGATGCTGCTAAAAAGAACATTATTTTGTGTATTTGGTGTAATGAAATGTGTTTATGCGGTTTAAAGTAAAAATTTACAGATCTTCTTTATGCACCAAGAGCTTGTAACACTCCAAAGAGAAAGGAAAAATTGAAATCGCATCATATTAAACGACTTGAATTAAAAGTCCTGCATAATGCTTAATCTTTTTTTTTTTTGGTTATTATTGGTATTTTTGGGTTACAGTATCAGGTATTTATTTCAACATAAACTCATGTCTTCCCCCTGGGCTGCCATTATTTAACACCATTATCATGTTCAGTATAGAGATTTTAACACATTTATTGTATGGACAAAATTCAATATCGATCGACCTCTAATATGTGTTCATATATCAGTACGTAAACCCACAGTATGTGTTAGATTGTATGGATTTACTATTCCGTATTAATTTTATTTGTGCAGGTCTTAGAAAAAAAAGGTCTTAAAGTCTTTAATATGATCTGCAGATGTTAAAATATAAAGCAGGACAGGCTAATTCTTACAGTGAAATATGGGTGAATCTGCCAAATTCTATGCGGTTTCTTTGTATTAGAATTGGACTGAAGTTTCATTTTGAAAAGGTCTCTGATTATTTGTAATAAGGCACAGCAGCAAAAACTGACCTGAATGTTTCTGACAGTTACTGAGAGTGAAAAAGGCTCATCAGAAGTTAACTCTTTGGTTGCGTGGACCCCTGAGAAAATGGCAATATTAAAATGCAAGAAATAAATGTATCATATGACCCATTTGAACATCTTCCTTTCTTCTCCAGGTGAAAAAAGAGACGCTGCAGCTGAGGGAGTTTGAGGAGGGTCTCGTCAGCCAGTATAAGTTTTACTCGGAAGATCTGGAACAGACAATCAAAGGTGAATCATTGCTCTGTGCTTTTGCCTTCCCATCAGCCCATTCATTCTCATCACGTCCATCTGATCTGATGCCGTTTCAGACTGGAAGCAGAAGAAGCAGAAGAGAAGTCAAGCCGTGTCTCTTCAGAGTTATAAAGGTCTTGCTGAAGTGGCCATCAAGTGCGTCTGTGATCTGCTGGTAGCTCTGCCACACTTCAATTTCCACAACAACATCATCGTCATGGTGTTGCCTCTGATGAGCAGCCCCATCAGGAAGGTCAGTCTGCTAGCAATATTTGCTGGAAAGACTCAACATTTTGAGGTTTGCGTGTGGATAGTATCACTTAGATGTTGTCGTTTGGCACTCGGGTATCTGAGGTGTGTTGTGAAGCCGTTGGCAAACTGCTGAAGCAGGATAAGCTGGGTCAGGCCTCGTTGGCGGTGGTGAAGGTCATCTCAGGCATGGTCAAGGGCAGGAACTACAACGTCAAACCTGAGGTACAACCATCACATTGTGCTGAAGAGCAAACAAGTTTTGCCTCATCTGTCAATGATGAACACGACAAACAGACAAAATGTACTCACCATAAACTTTCATTACAGAGAATTGTTTTATTAAAAGGGACAGTTTACTTTTGAAAACTTGTAAACCGTTTTGGCTTTTCTTTCAGTTAAAGAATATGGTCAGATTTTGACTTGTTCTACTTTATTTTTTAATATTGTGAATATTCATGAATTTCAGTAAGCTATGAAGCTTTAAAAATCTTGTGTTTGGTTATATCACTGAGATGTTATTATTTATTGGTTTTTATTATATAGTTATAATAATATAATAAAATGTGTGCGTATATATTAACATATATCAAATTAATATATATTAATAATATATATAGTTTTTATTAATACAGTTTTATTATTATTTGGAATTTGTTATTTTTACATTTTAATTTTAGTTAAAGTTTTAGTCATTTGTAGTGCTGTCAAATGATTAATCGCATCCAAAGTAAATGTTTTTGTTTACATAATATATGAGTCTGTACTGTGTATATTTATTATGTATATATAAATACAAACACATGCATGTATATATATATTTAAGAAAAATATGTTATATATTAAATATATTTATATATAATATGACATTTAATAATGTAAACGTATATACATGTAAGTATTTTCAAAATATATACTGTATGTGTGTGTATTTATATATACATTATATAAATACACACAGTACACACACATATATTATGTAAACAAAACGTTTATTTCGGATGCGATTAATCGCGATTAATCGTTTGACAGCACTAGTAATTTTATGTTTTGTCAATTTTATGTCTATAGAATTTTTATTCATTTTATTTAAACTAAATGAAAATGAGATGTTGGTTTGGCAACTAGCTAAAATTAAATACATTTTTTTATATTTTATTTTATTTCAGTTAAAGTTTATTTTATATCAGGTAATGCTATTGGTTTTTTTTATGGTTTTAGTTTTCGTTAGCTATAATAATGCTGGTATGGGTTTTAAATTTATGACACAAATAATATATATAAAAAAATCTGAACATTAAAGTTTAGTATAGTTCATAGAAGTTGCACTTCTGATGAATTCTCTGATTTTATTGGCTCATATCAGACAAAAAATCTGCAAGGGTCACAGCATCATTATTAAACTGTGACTTTAGCCGTGCATTAAGTTGTGATGATTTATGGCATGTGTTTTGAATGGTGTTTTTTGCACAGGTGCTGAACTGTCTCCTCTGTCTGAGAATCAAAGAAGTGGAAATGAAGAGAGATACTGAAGATACTGCGCCCAAAAAGACGTTCATGTCCTTCAAGGAGAAGAGGACTAATTTGTCCAGGATGCAGCGGAAGGTTTGAACTGAGCTGAATGTTATTAACTCTCTCAAGTTACACTGCTATTCAAAAGTCTGGGGTCAGTAAGATGTATTCATGTTTTTGAAAGAAGTCTCTTCTGCTCACCAAGGCTGCATTATTTGATGAAATATACAGTAAAAACACTAGCCTAATATTGTGAAATAGTATTACAATTTAAAACAACTGTTTTCTATTTTAATCATTTTTAAATTATAATTTATTTCTGTGATCAAAGCTGAATTTTCAGCATCATTTCTCCAGTCTTCAGTGTCACGTGATCTTCAGAAATCATTCTAATCTGCTGATTTACTGCTCAAGAAACATTTCTTATTATTATCAATGTTGAAAACAGCGGTGCTGCTTAATATTTTTGTGGAAATGTAATATTTTTTCATGATACATTTGTTGTCAGAATTCTTTAATGAATATAAAGTTCAAATGGACAGCTTGTATTTGAAATATATTTTTTGTTACATTATCATATCATTTGATGCAGCCTTGCATTGGCAAATTCAAGTATTCAATTCTTTAAAACAAAATTAAAAAAGTCTTACTGACCTCAAACTTTTGAACAGTAGTGTATATTTAAATATTTTATAATAACCTTTAGGGCTGCACGATTAATCGAATGCGATTGTCATGCGCATTTTGATAGTAATGCCGGTTCTGTAATCAGCAGAAAATCATCATCACGTGCTTTCAGATGGAGCAGAATTTACTACACGTAGCCGTAGTTCACTGACAAGTTACGCAAAAAAAATCTCAGACGATTTTATTGCGCGATTCTGAAATCGAAGAAATCGTTCGCGATAATGACAGCTGTTTGCATAGCTTCTCAGTGAACTACGACTCTGTGTAGTAAATGCTGCTCCATCTGAAAGCATGTGAAAATACCACATTTAATAACATATTTTTACTCCAAACTCACTTCATAACGTCAGTCGAGTGTTTGAAATAAATCCTTCTGTGAGATGATGTGGCTTCTTACACAGAATAAGGCACGCAACATATTTCATAGTATTTAAGCAGTGATAAAGGCATTGCATTATAAATATACTTTATTTTAATGAAAATTATAATAATAAGAACTCAGATAAACCGTATATTGCCGTAGTCGTGTTTTTATTAGTCACGTTGAATCAATGAAAGCAGTTGGATCTTCTGTTTATTCAGCTGCAGTGAATTTCAGCATTTTCTGGGTTTCTTCTGCGAGGCGTATTTGGAGTTTCAGCGCGAGAGCCCCCTCTGGCCTTTGGATGGAGATTTACTGCTGATCACAGAACCGTGCGTCACTGAAAGATACGCATGACAATCGCAGCTTCTGCCT